TAATGCTAAAAAACAACAATGTCGATAGACGGTAGGAAACGTGAGTCCACCTACTGTTTCCTGTGTTGCAGTCCATGTTTTGTTCATAGACTGTATATTATAAGTAAAAAGTCACTGTGAAATTATCTAACTTGGAATCCCTGAGTTTGGCATTTTGGAAGTGGCCAAAATGTGGTTGGATTGTTGTAATCAGCATTGCATGGAGCAAAGTACAACCAAAAATACTTTTCTGACAAACAAAATATTACAATTAACTCTCATGAACTGGAATCACACTGAAAGGGTTAAAGTTCAAGAAGATAACACCCAGAGACCAGATAACACTGTGTGGTAACGACCTGTCAATCACACGGTAGCCACTTTCCAAAGCATACACAGCTTGATCGTCTATTTTACTCCAAATAGGAGCATTATTTCAAAAAATAAACACCATTTGGTATTGAAAAATACGTGAAAGTTAAGAGCAAAAATGTATCAGGAACTCCTCACTATGCGGACTTGTCCCTCTATATAGGAATTTCACCTGACTTATTTCTCATATCATACTTCCTATTGCCACTCGAGGGCTTCGTCCCTTAAATGTAAAAGTAGGGCTGTCAACATTAACATATTAACACTCGCAATAAATATGGAAACCTTGGCACGTACAACCAATTAATCACATTACCAAGTTTGACCCAAACTTCCTCCGGTACTTCCTGTCGCTATCAGTGCAAGCTACATGTATTGCACTGACATGAGACCACTGACATCGGTAAGCAACAGCACACTTAATCCATAACAAATGGCAATTGCGCTTTAGGTGTGGTAAAAACAGAGGATAGGCATTTAGCTAAACCAACCGCCAGCCAGTTTCTTGAAGTTGCACTCTATAGGAGATAGCAGACAAGGTCACCACTCGAGGAATATGAAAGTGGCAACAATTATACGATACAGTGTGATACCCTTTGATGCCGCACATTAGCCTATACAGAGGGGAATCACAGCAACATCTCTCGAAGACAGCAGGCTTATTGATGCTTTAGCAAAGTGTTGGAAAACCATCTGACTGCATGCCAATAATTCAGAAATCATGTTATAGTTAAAAAGTAAAATATCTCTGATTTCTCAAACTATTTCGTCAGTCATTTCTTTATAACAACACTATTGTAAACCTGGGATGAATCATGATTATTAAGAGATTATTATTGTGATTACTGCAACTACATGTTTGATTGATTTAAATGGTTAGAACAGAGCCTCCTGCCAGAAATGAGTAGACACCATTACGTGGCACCTTCAACCAAGTAGGGATGCCCAATAAAGGAAACCTTCTCATATAGGCCTCTGTATGTGATGGAACATCTTTGCACTTCCATTTGCACCTCTAATGAATGTGTGTGTGTGTGTGTGTGTGTGTGTGTGTGTGTGTGTGTGTGTGTGTGTGTGTGTGTGTGTGTGTGTGTGTGTGTGTGTGTGAAGTGTGAAGGGTCTTATGAAAGCCGGATAAGGTAACTTAATGATGTCAGTGAATGCTGTTCTCTGCTCGTCTGTCAGGCTCTTAAGTCTCTCTCTCTCTCTCTCTCTCTCTCTCTCTCTCTCTCTCTCTCTCTCTCTCTATAGCACTCTACTTGCTTACAATAACCTACAGAACGGACACATTCGCCTTCTCACGCTCGTCTGTCTCCTCTCTTGTTCTCCTTCGTCTTCCTTCCTCTCCCTTAGTTATTCTTGTTCCCTCCATCCTTGACATGAATCCAGCCGGCTAAAGTCGCCTCTGGACATTTTCTAGCAGTGGTATTTTCTTTTTATCTCACGGCTCAATAACTTGAAATAAGGGAAAATATGTTTAGTAGCTTCTACTTTTTTGTTTAGGTTTGCTTGGTGTCCATTGTTTTAGGTTAAAATGATATTTGTAGAGTTGCTTTAAAATTAACTCTTTAAAATAAGCTTTCATTCATAAGATGCACTGCCAGCAGAAGAAAGTATCTGCAGACCTTCAAAACTCATTTAATTGAAAATTGAAACATGTAATTGAATTAATTGTTTTCCAATGTTTTGACAGATTATTTTTAAACTACTAGGTTTCATTTGGTGCAAATCTGTACAGTAAGTCAGGGTCACTGAAGGCAATGATCATTTTATTTCAGTCAAGTTATAAAAAGACCCACATTAATTCAAATATAAGTTTTATCAGTACATACATCACTTACATGTCTTACTTCATTTTAGTTTTGATTCCTCGTGGTTTTTAGATGGCATTTAGCAAAATGAAGAAGTTTTGTTCATGTTTTGGCCCCATGTTATTTAAGAAGTATTTAAGTACTCAACACAAACATATTCTCTCTGTCAAGATATTCTTGGACAGGATTAATTTAAACACTGGGCTATTTTATAGCTTATAAATGAATAATAGTTATTAAATGATGAGTGTTGCTAAGGAATAACAATCCACTATTTGTAATATTGTGATTCTTTACGTCAAATTTTACAAAGGTAGATCACAATAAGGATAATAAAACGGTCCACAGGGTTTATTTTTCTCTTCATAACGTCTGTATTTTCTTAGGCTGTTATCACTGTTTCTCAGTCTTTTTCTGTGTTCTTCCTTGAATGACAGATGTTTCAGAAAGAAAAAAAACATCTGGCTGCTCGAGGACTACATATTGACCCTTTCATCTCTTTTCTTTTCTGCCCCCCCTCCCCCTTTTTTCTTTTATCTTTTAAATATGACATGCAAGTGTGATCCTCCTCCTATTGTGTATCAGATAAAACAAGGCTTCTAAAACAATTAGCTTGTGAAACAAATGTTATCCCCCACAATTATGTTATAACGCACAAACTCCTCTCAATTGTGTGTGTGTGTGTGTGTGTGTGTGTGTGTGTGTGTGTGTGTGTGTGTGTGTGTGTGTGTGTGTGTGTGTGTGTGTGTGTGTGTGTGTGTGTGTGTGTGTGTGTGTGTGTGTGTGTGTGTGTGTGTGTGTGTGTGTGTGTGTGTGTGTGTGTGTATGTGTGTAAGTGTGTATGTGTGTAAGTGTGTCATCACCAAAGGCAGTATCTGTAACTCCACTTAGAAGAACATTATATAACTTGAGAAACCGTCACTTTCTTGGGCACACACACACACACACACACACACACACACACACACACACACACACACACACACACACACACACACACACACACACACACACACACACACACACACACACACCCACATTTGGATACTTTATTTGGTTCCACAAATTGTATTACATAAGACAGGGAATCAAATATATCGGGGCTAAGCAGCACAGAACACTTAGGGGAACACATAGCATCTCCTTCTCCGCACGGCTAAGCAGCAGCCTTAAGGGAACACATAGCAACTCCTTCTCCACACGGCGAGCTGCCAATAATAGCTGAAACAGAGCAATATTTGGCAATTGGTTTGGCTTTTCTCTTTGACATTCCATCAATTCTCAGACCAATCATGCTGCACTTATATACATGCCCAAGACTTCAGAATATGAGCATGCTATATCTACACTTGTACCCAAAGTTATCACATCGAGCAGTGGTTGGTATTTGATATACCTGTCCTGGAAATCCATTTTCTTGGGCACACACACACACACACAAACACACACACACGCACGCACGCACGCACGCACGCACGCACGCACGCACGCACGCACGCACGCACGCACACACACAGACACACAGACACACACAGACAAACAAAGGCTACAGACATGTACTTCCTCCACATAAGCCCCCACAGGACATACTGTACACTCGCAGATGGGCACAGGAAGCAGACTCATATGCCAACTTATTATACACAAAAGTTATGGTGTGCACTTGATCCCAAATGCAGCAAAAAACACTTCTCATTTTTAGAGATTTTGAGGACCGGAGCTGTACTGTATATGTTGTTGACTCTAATCCCATGAGATCTGCAGCACTGCACGCTATACCAGGATGTCCTTTCTGCCTGGATTGGGATAATACTAGGGATGAAGGGATGGAATATTGAGGAAAAGGAAGGGAGAATCCTTGAAGGACATATGGTCAAAATTGCACTATAAATCTTAGCAAAGGCATAGAAAGAGTGATAAAAGTATGTTACAGGTTGTCACGAGAAATTAAATGTGACTAAACTCAGAATTGTTTCTTTCGTGGGAAAGGTTAGAATGGGCATTCAATCCCAGGGGAAATGACTGCAGGATGGGTATTTATTGACTCCAGCTCCGATTGATAGTGATATAAACATGACACCTAGGTGGACATGCTCCTTTTCCCCCGTTTTCTGGCGCTGTGCTATGGTGATGTCTGACCTATAATAAATCAAATCAAACAGAGGCAAAAAACCCCGTATCAAAACAGTCTTTGAGGCAATGAATAAAGTGGCTTTCGCCTATTTAAGTGGCTCTTAATATGTTTTAAAACCCTGAATATGCGTGAAAATGTTGGTTGAAGGAGGCTATTACTTTAAGAATTCAATCCTAACATATATTTCCATACACATTCATTGCTTTCAAGACGAAACACTATACTCCATACTGTCTTGTTACAAAACATTAGTTTCTGAAACAAAGGTATATTTTTTTGTGATATAATTTCATTTGATAAGTAGTGTTAAAACAGTGGTAACGAAACCTGACTTTTGGTACAATGTACATGTCAGGACAGCTGTTTTATGAATCGATTCACACAGAGAAAATTATGCACACAAGCAGAAAGACACATGTTCTCTAACCTGTGCCTAGGCATTCACCCATGCATTCAAATGTATGCTATTAATATATTACACACACGCACGCACGCACGCACGCACGCACGCACGCACGCACGCACGCACGCACGCACGNCCGTAATTTTCGGACTATAAGCCGCGCCTTTGTTCGACGCTGCGGCTTATCCCCTAATGGCCGTTAGCTGTAAAAATCCATAGATTAGCCGCACCGTTATATAAGCCGCAGCGTCGAACAAAGGCGCGGCTTATAGTCCGAAAATTACGGTACATACAACCCTGGTCCTCCTATCTGGTTGGAAAAGAGATATTAGTCTAACAATGCATCTAAGCATTGAGTATTGACGGTTAGGTTTCTATGTCTTCCTAATTGTACGGCTAGCTTTACTTTCTTATGCACACCAACAGTGCAAAAGGTATTTTAAAAAACTGCCTTCTGTCGGCCAAAGGATAGCAACACCTTCAAAGACCTCACAATATCATGAATTAAAACCAGGATTTCAACGTCAGGGTTTTTTGCAAAAATATCAACATGTATCCAGTGGATGAAAATGTTTTGATATACTTATGCTCAAAGCCTTTTAATAGCCACTTCAGCTCGCTAATAGATAATGATGTAATGAGTTCACAGTATGTACATGCATAGAGACTGTATCTTTCTGTGCACCTTCAGGTTTTCCCCGGAGCTGCTGGGAGTTCAGGCCAGCTCGGCGTTGGTGTGGCTGATCATGGAGGTCCTGGCAGTCCTGCTGTCTCTCTACCTGGTGACCGTCAACACTGACCTCACCACCATTGACCTGCTGGCCTTTTCTGGATACAAATACGTCGGGTGTGTACACCATCTTTCTATGTTTTTTTTCTTCTTCACTTGTATTACTTCATTTTGCTCATTTTCTTTATTGGCTTATTTTCACCAGAACAATGCTCCGAACACAACATCTCTTAAATGTTCTTAGTTCAACACTAATGATCTGTGTATTGTATGCCTAACCTGTGACTGTGTGTCTCCCCTCTGTTTCCTCAGGATGATCGTAGGCGTTGTGTCAGGCCTGTTGTTCGGTCGGCCAGCGTACTATCTCTCTCTGCTGTGGTGCTGCGCTGCCATCTTTGTCTTCATGGTAAGGAGCAATATCTATTGACATCTGAGGCTTGAAATAATTTGTCTTAATAGACAGATTTCCCGTTTACAAATAATTGAGGACAGGTGTCTTCTGTGTAAAAAATTTCATTCTTGCACGCTTGACACCCTCCCCTTCACCCTCCAAAGCTTTCTACCATTCTTTCTGCTCCCTGTTAAGCTCGCATCTACATTTTAATGCAAAAATAACATACATAGCACTAGCTAGCAAAAGACATATTTATATACGTATTAAGTTTGTTATTGAGGTTCTTGCTATGCCGGACTGCATGATATTGGGAGGTTTTTTGTCCCATCTATTTGCAGAGGTCAGCTCACTTATATGCATGTTGTTTTTGAATGGTCGATATAAAGATTGTCTCCAACGTGTCCCTCCTCAGATCCGAACCCTACGTCTGAAGCTGTTATCGGAGGCGGTGGCGGAGGGGAGGCAGGTGAGAGGATCCAGAAACCAGCTGAGGATGTACCTCACCATGTCTATAGCAGGAGCTCAGCCCCTCTTCATGTTCTGGCTCACCTACCACCTGATCAGATAAAACCCACACACTCATTTGTAATAGATGGACTTTGCTGTCTGAACTCCATATCGCCGCCCGTAGAAACACACACATCAGAGGAGCTGGACTTGGATGTAACCCACAACGGCCCACAGCTTTTTGGATAATAAGACTCACTCCATGTATCCATGGAGCTGAACAACACATGCTAAAAGACGATTCAGAGAAGATGTCTCTCCTCTCACAGCACAGTCCCGTGTCATTTGAAAATTGTTGCCTTTTTTTTGTCCTTTTATGTCATGTCTTCAAAATTGTGTAGCGAAAGTGGCTTTATGTTGGGTTTCTCTGTGTAATTATTTGTTGATTATGTTTATTTAAGTATGTATGTTTGTGAATAGCAAAAGTATTATGGCGGCGGATGCTGCTCCGGTCTGATATCTCATGTCATTTTTCTGAGCCGACTCTAAAGAAAGCACACTAACCTCACACAAACCGTCCATGGAATGACAAGAAGATTCAGGTTTAAAGGTGATTCAAATAACCTTTTCACTGCGCCTAATGTTTATATTGCGGCTGAGAGAGAAACCTTTCATCATCTGGAACCGAGGGTTATCTAACTGGTGTCACTGGGTGACGTAGCACCTCAGTTTTAATCTTTTTGTAAGTGCTTTGATACATGTATGATCTTTGCTGCATGACAACTGTTGAATAGAAATATCAACTCTGCGTAAGCCACGACTTTAAGGTGCAGACCTTGCAATGTAATGTTGAGTTGACTTTGATATCCTTTTTAAAAACTAAGTAAATTATTTACTGCTTTTCATATTGAAAGTCTGGTGTTATAAAGAAAAGGGAAGAGATGAGATGGTCTGTCCTGTGAAAATGTGTTGTCTCTTTGAGATACTTGAAATACTTTCATGTGCTTTAATGTAAATCATCTTATGTCACCATGTCACTAAGTGTCAGCTTTTTTTATGTTGCCAATGTTTACTCAAACCAAGGTAGGATTTATAAACATTCAAATTAATTCAGGAAACTGTTAACAATTCAGGATATTTGCAATTCAGATGATTTCTGATAATTGATGATGAAACGGTTTTGTCAATAGACTGAGGTGCCATTAAAACATTTTTCCAAATGTTGTGACAATGTTAATTCAAACAGGATACCTGAAATTGTAGCATCTCGTTATAAATGACTCATTCTATATACATATAGCTGGCAATATACTTTCTTTTTTTAGGATTAATCATAAATGGATCACATCCTCGACTGTTTAATAGGCTGAAAGCATACGACCTATCAAATCAAGCCATTGAAATGATATGACGATTGGACAGATTAATAAAGTCAAACTGATGGAGCTGCTGAGTTGTGTGCTTATGTGCTCGAAATGTGCTTTACTTGTTTTTCTCATGTTATATTGTTTTTGTTTGTAATCCCTATTACAGCTACATTTGCATTACATGGAGAGGAAGTATGTACAAATATTTGAGCAACCTGGACTAATTTTTGATTCTTCCTCTATTGGCCTATTAGTTTTTAAGCTTAATGTTTACACTTTTCATTGTTAATTGTATATCAGGCCTGCTTTAAAAGTACTAAATCAAGAATAGTATTTGATAAAAGACAATTCTAATTTACTTGTGTGCAACTCGATTTTGACAGGATAACAACTGAATTAGAATTTTGTGAGTAACATTCTGTTTTTAGACTTCTCTGTTTCAGTGTGTGTACTCTGTATAAATGCTCTGTAGTTGATCTGACTAAAATTGTGATTTTAAATCTCAAAACCGCTACAGTATCTTTCAGGCAGAAACTTGGGACAAGTAATTTGACTGAAACCTTAAAACTGAACTAACTGACTGCTAGGGTTAAACTTTGATTCAAACAATACTAAGAGCTTTATTGAGTAGGTGTAACTGTATTAAGGGTTAAACTCATAACTTTATAACTTAGGGTTTAATGTAATTGGAAAACCATTGTGACACTGAAAATACAATAACAACTCAGGAGGGAGCCAGTCTAGATTTCCTTTTGAGGGCCACCAGCTACAGAGAATTAACTAATTAAAGGGGCGTGGCCCCACAGCTGTGAGAACTCAGCAATCAGGTGTCCATTTTAGGTAACTTTCCTGGAGCGTCGTCAGACGAAGACTGACAGACCAAACAGCTCGCTGCACCCGCACTGCGAGGGGGACCCAAGTTCCCATCAGCAAAAACACGTGGTTTGCTATCCTGGCTCCAAAATGGTGGAATGAGCTCCCCATTGAAATCAGGACAGCAGAAAGCTTACACATCTTCCGGCGCAGACTGAAAACTCATCTCTTTCGACTCCAGTTCGAGCGATAGAATTATTAACAAAGCACTTGTATACTAATAAAGGACTGGCTTATCTAAAGCCAGTTGAGTAGCACTTGAAATGTTTTAGCTCTATGAAACCTGATGTACTTATATGATTCTGTTTTCTTCAAGATTGTATCTTGTTGGTCGAACGCACTTATTGTAAGTTGCTTTGGATAAAAGCGTCAGCTAAATGCAATGTAATGTAAGACGATCGATGGCTATGCCATTTGCCTCTGAACCTTGACAAGTGCATGTTTCAGGCTTATCAATTAACAACAGTAGGGGTCACAGACATAAGACCAGCTGTTAAATAAAGCTCTTCTGACCTTAGCTGTCATGTGGGTATATATTAATNTTGTATCTTGTTGGTCGAACGCACTTATTGTAAGTCGCTTTGGATAAAAGCGTCAGCTAAATGCAATGTAATGTAATGTAACTTGAGTCAGCTGGGAAATAACCAGACACTGCTATATATACTGACCTATAGTACACGCAACACGTAAAAAATATATTGACTAAACAGCAAACCGGTATTGAAGAGAAACACATTTATTTAGTATGTTGGTTTACAAAGTTACGAAAATAATACATTTCCTGATTACAAAGATTTGTGGAGAATGATTTTAAAATGTTGGCCCACTATACACTTTAAAGTGTTGTGTTACGCCAGGCAGTTTTCATTTATTTTTAAAAATGTCTTCCCTATTCAAATGTGTGTTTATAGTAAAACACCGGTCATACCTATAACAGAGTTCCCAAAAAACATGATCAAATTATTTCTTAATATGTCAACATGTTTAAGTCCAATCAAAAACAAATACAAATAAAATACATACATAAACTGTTTCTCAAACTACTGAATAATAGAATATGGACTGCTGATGAAGCTTACATTTGGCAGATTATTCCGACAAAAATAACAACTCTTTAAATGATAATAATACGGACTTCATTGCTTCATTCAGAAGCCTCTGTTGTGATTAATAGCCTCGAGGAGCCTGGTGTGCATGGTCCCCTCGGCCGGGTACCTCTGGTAGACGGGCAGTAACAGCAGATGGTGGCAGGTGAGGGATTCTGGCTTATGGATCTCGGTGGAATCGGGCAACACTGCGACTTTCATCTGAACACTCTCCATACCCAGGAAGGGAACACGGTAGGAGCCGGTGACGAACACTGATAACAAATAAAGAATCTTAAATTAATGAAATACAACTTCATAGAACACCAAGGAAGCTAATACTGATAGGGACTCCACTTGAAACGTAATAAATGATGTCAATCATTTCGATACTTACGAAATAACTTTTTCTTCTCCTCCGCGGTCAGATTCTCAAACACCTCCCAGAAGGTCACGATGTTTGGATGCCTGTCATGGTAGTCTCCTTCATAAACTGCGTTCTGTTTGGAAATGACATGTGGAAAGTTACTTTACTTCTCCCCTACAAGCACTTAAACACACAACACGTAGGAACAAGCAAACTGAGCATATCTTAAAGGTCTCATGTTAAATACCTTTAGGTTTATTTAAATATTTTTGGAGACTACTAGAATATGTTTAAATGCTGTAATGTTAAAAAAATCCATTATTTTTCTCATACTGCCTGCCTGCAAAGAGCTTTATTCAGACTCTTCCTGAATCTGATGAACTCCTCAGACCCTCCCTCCAAAAAGCTCAGTCTATTCTCATTGGTCAGTGTTTCCCACTAGCTGTCGAATGGCATCTCAAATCTCCTGATTTGCTCCCCTTTCTTAGAGCAGGATTCTTAAATATGTGGAGCCAGCAGAACATTTGAATTCTTTATTGCCGAAAGTTCTGAGTATCTTAGTATATATGTGTATGTCTTTGTATAAAACATTAAAAAGTGCATATTGGGCATAAATATGTGAGCCTGTAACTGAAAAACAGTCACTTAAACAAAATACCTAAAAAAAAGGGTATCTGTTCTCCCATATTTGTTCTAATATATTCTTATTTGCAAATCGATACTATCCTCAGAACATAAGATGAAACATGTATTCTGAATATCTGAACTTCAGGCAGACCTTCTTGAACACGCCCCTCACCTCCCCGCTCGTAGTTTCTGCCTGGCCACCCCATCAGCTGCCTGGCAGCTCGCTCCGGGCGGAAGAAGCTCCACCACGTCGATATCACGACACGCTTGAAGAAAGCCTTTCCTTGAACGCTTCAAACACTCCCTCCACCTGATTTGTTGAAGGCATAGTTGACCGTAGGCGTCCTTACAAACTCTTTCCTATTAAAACATTTAATAAAAGAATATACAAAGCAGATAAAGCTGAGTGTTGACATTCGTCTAAAAAAATAAATGTTAAGAAATTCTAAAAATTGTTGCTTCTACATTACACTCCCAACACTAAATCTTGCAATGAGAAAGTAATGTATTTTTGCACTGAGATAATGACGCATGGTTTAACTGTTTTAACTGCTGGATAGCGCAAAAGGGCAGGATTCCTGCAGTCCGACGTAAGATTGGATCATTTGTGTGTCTTGTTGACAGCATGCAGCTGGCTGAATGGCAAGAAATCTCGGGCAGGCTGTCAAAAGACACAGACCTGA